ATGAAGTATTTTAGTGTTATAACATTATAGCCTACTTTTAAATAATGAACGGTAAACCATAGAAAAACAAAAGATCTTGCTCAGTAAAAGAAAAAAAAAAAAAAGAAAAGAAAGAAGAAATATAATGAAAAATAAAATTTTAAGGTTTTTTACAGATGCATACTTAGAAAAGAGAAATTATGAGCTGATCATGTGGAGAGTCTAACCTTCAAAGGCAATTGTACGAATTTTTATTTTGTACCTGTAGGTTCAGAAAGAAGACCAGTTATTGCAACCAGAGATAAGAGACCACCTTCCACTGTTTTAGGGGATCAACAGTTTAAAAAATTTAGAGGAGGACTGTCTCATTTTGATCAGTATGAAGATAATATCGGGATATTAAATGATGCGAATTTTCTTGTTCGTTTTCAAATCTCCCAAACTTGCATGCCTTGTAAAGCTCACCAGTAGGCCACCATATCTTTCAAAACCATGCCTATGTCTTTCCATGTTTAACAGTGAAATCAATTGACGGGGTTGTAATTAAGAGCCACTGACCATAAATATCGAAAATCCGCCGACAGTTGAAAATTGTCTTTATTTTTTTTAATTTTTTCTAAAGGACCCTTTTAATGAACCTTTTCGAAAATCATATCAAAAAGTTTTATCGCGCTTTTTTCTCCGAAAAATCAAAAAGTTAAAAAAACGCCTAGATGGCCATTTCTCTCCCCCCCTCTCAATGGAATGAAAAATTGTGCAACTTCGACAACTTCGTACGGTACAACGCGATACAATCCCGATTTTAAATCTTTTGTGCCAGCAGATGGTCCTTTTATCTTTTTGAAAATAGAATTTATTGTTATGTTGTTACGTTTAAGTCTGAATAGGGACCCGTTGAAATAAAGTACTTCGCATCTTTTTCGCAGAGGTGAAGTAAGGTCAACCTCAGTGGCCTATGAACAGGTCTGCCATATATATTTACAAATCATAATATACACCATTTTAAAGCTTTATCCTTGAATTTTAATTTCTCTAACTCTCTATCTTGGCCCGCCACAAGCGGCGTGGCCAGGTTCAGAAGAGTTTTGGCTATTTTGTCAAAAATGCAATGTGAACCACTGAATAGGTGTTAATACCCATTTAAGGGCCTTTAAGAAGGTCTAGCATGATATATTTACAAATCAAAATATGCATCATCTTAACGCTTTATCCTTGTAGTTTAATTCCTCAAAGTTTCTTTCTTGGCCCGCAATATGGCGGCGCGTCCAACTTGAAAAGAGTTCAGGCTAAAATGACAAAAAAAAAAAATGTAGTATGATCTGTTGAATGGCTGTCACGGAAGAGTTCATATATTTGTACATTCCTAGCCAAGCTGAAAGATTTGCCTTGACCTCTTGCGTGACAAGCATACACAAGCACACGAAATGCTTCAAGCTAAAATTCCAGTGGAAGCTTTGATTATTTGGCCACAATTTTCAACATTTTGTAGGGTTTGTTGTTCATGATTTGTGTCGTGCTTGTGAACAATTCATTGTACTGAAAGCTTGTAACTTTCTCAACGCTGGAGGGGAGAAAATGACCCCTCAATAGTTTTCTGAAAGGACTTTTTAAATTTTATTGCGGGATTAGCACAGTGGTGCAGCCTGACTCAAACCCAGGTAACATATATAAATAGAATACACCGAAGTCGAATCCCCTAGAGCAGATCTCGTCATAAATACAGCTTACCTTTGACGCATCGTGGGCTTATGTGAAATTTCAGGCATTCTTCGCTCCACAAACTGGTGAACTTAATGATAACTCCAGCAAATAACTCCAAATTTTAGCGGTCATCATCTGTCGACACTCTTCTCTAACTTGTTGTGGCGAACTAAACTCGAAACTAAAGCCATGTTTCGCGCTTTATGGCCTAGGGGTCCGCATTAACCACTGTAAATGCTAGCACATGTGCTGATTTAAACGCTCATAACCGTTTCTGAAAGGTCGAAAATGTACAGGGTTTTTTGCATGTGTTTGCTTATAAAGGTCTAAACTTAACAGCTGTGTTGGATAGAGTTGTCACTCAGGTCCCAGATCTCAAAACGTCTAAATCAAGTTTATTTACGGCCATCGGCTGATAGCGATTTATAGTGGCCAGAATATGTTAAAATTCGCCTTTGAAATGTATTGAGAGGGAAATTCTAACTCTCTTGGCACACAAGAGCGGTTTTTAAGCGTCTGAAATAAATTTCGTGGCTTAATTATGCGAATCAATTATTTTACAATATTCTAAAACGTGCCTATTTCTCAGTTTTCGAGACGTTGCGACGGTCCCTACGGACTGGTGAAATAATAATGGCTCCTATTGTAGTCGGAAAATTATTTCGAATAAAACCAACACTAATTTAGTTGTTTCCTAAGTAAAGTCTTGAGTTGACAGAGTTTCAGGCAAAGCTTTTTTTGACGCGATATTGGCCGGTGGAAATAAGAGAGACAGCCTCTTTAAAACGCTCTTCGCAAATGCTATTCCAGAAGAACACAGAAAAGTCAGCGAAATATGCCATGAAGGTCTTTGAAGGTAAAGAAAGCTACGAGCACACTTTCAGATTTACGCAAACTCAAACTGAGACGATGGAACGAGTAACTTTTGAAGTCCTACCGAAACTCAGAAAATGACGTCATCATCCGAAGCTGCCAGTGGTGTGTTTTGTCATCTGCAATTTGTGGGGGAGTGGGAAGGACTCGCAAAATTGCACTCTGGTGTTTTTCCTTGTATTTCAGATATCTCAGAAGAGCAAAGAAAATTAGTCGTTGTAATTTGAGATTGTTTGGTTTGTTGTCGTGCCTTTCTTATGTCACTCCTACCCTTTGCAGTGTAATGCAAAGAACAGGGAACTTTAAAGACTTTGTTTTTGATCGCTTCGGACACGTTTTAGAAGTAAACTGGTGTAATATCCAAGAGGCTTTCAAAGAAATACAAATGGTCGAATTTGAGAGCCAGCACATAGCTTTATGTTCATTTAATTGCATTTTTCTTCTGAAATATAAGATTTCATGGCGCTGTAGCAACTAAATAATGGTGCTAATGGTACCGATATGTACACTGGTACTTTTGTAGTAACGCCTTGGTCCTGAGTCATAGGAAACCTTTTCATTTGCGTGTCATTTTCATTTACTTTCATTTGGGTCCCGTATGCAGTATCCCTACTGGAATTTTGACCTTCTTGAAGTCCTTCAGAGTGTAGCCAACTTATACACCATTATAAAGGCTGATAGTTTCGAAAGAAACTGTTTGGGGCTGCGTCGGTGGGAGTAACGAAATAATTTGGATATATCAACAAAGTTGAAATGGTAAATTAGCCACCGTAACGATTACAAAAGCTGACGTTTCGAGCGTTAGCCCTTCGTCGGTGGCCAATTTACCATTTCAACTTTGTTGATATATCCAAGTTATACACCATTATATATCACTAAACTTGCAATTAAGCAACAATACAATTGCATGCGAGTATAATGCCTAAATTCTCAGACACCATGCTTTTTGACCACGGTATCTCCTGTGTACATTTTGAACAGCGCCTCGAAACTAGAAAAGTGTCGGTAACCAAATCAAAACGAGGGAAGATAATTTAATGAGTTTATATATTTCATGTAGATTTCTGGTAGCAAAAAATTCTGTAATATATGTTATTAAACGTTTCGTTGTGTAGTATCGCTGAGTATTTTACTAGTTGTGCCGTAAATTGACGAGCCCGCAGGGCGAGTCAAAATACACACATTATTTATCCAACATTATTTATTATCCGCGAATTTCGCGGATATTTATTTAGGGTTACATTTGAATAAGGTTACATAGGTTAATTGACCACTCCCCATAGGGCTTTTCAGGGCCAACACCCACCCATCCCACCCAGGGGAGGACATCCACC